TCGTGAGAGGTTGACAATTATCTTCTTTAAAGAGACAGCTCAACCAAAAAAAATGTAGTTTTTTTTTTTAACTTATGTAGTTCCAAACCCATATGACTTTTGTTTCTCATGCAGAACCAAAAAGAGATATTTTTGAAGAATTGTATATTTTATTTTTTTAAGACTTATTATGCAGATCTTGTACATAAAAGTTGCTCAGCTGCACAGTTCTCAAGTTCATCTATCATATATATATATATATATATATATATATATATCACCAAATCAGCATATTAAAATGATTTCTGAGGCATCATGTGACACTGAAAACTGGAGTAATGGCTGTTGAAAATCACAGGAAAAATAGCTACATTTTGAATTATATTCAGATAGAAAACAGTTGTTTGAAATTGTAATACGCAATGTATGCAGCCTTGGTGGGCATAAAAGAGATCTTTCAAAAACATTAAAAAAAAACTTACCAACCCCAAACATTTGAACAGTAGCGTATAATGTCATTCTTTTTAAGAAGCACGTAAAAATCCAGTTGTGACGAAGAATTGATGTCAGTTTCAATGATTAAATACACCTTGCATTTGGCTTTGTAAGTGAATGGGGTTCGATCAGCAGGACCGGGGCACATCAGCTGAGCTGCTAATTGGCTTGCAGAACGCTCAAATACGGTCATTCATCAGCGCCGATCTATATCCATCTGCATCCTATTTACTCATTTAGTCCCCTTCTGTTGGCTTTATCTCCATTATCATTGAATAAGTAAATTACTGCTTTCAATGCAACTGACATGAGAGACGCTGCTGCTTGCATTTGTGAATCAGGGTATTGATTGTGTTATGTGTTTGTGTGTGAATAGACGTACCCATTTGGGCATGTTCCCTCCGTTGGGGTCATGATGGTGATATTGGAGCACAACCACTGTCGCAATAACTGACATTCCAACAATGATCATTATACTGGCAAAATACTGTCCTGAGAGAGAAACAAGGAGAGAAAAGTATGCATAAACCTTTCGTTTATTACTCTCTTAGCAGAATAGCCTTTTATCATCCAGTCATGCTAGTAAAAACCAGGGTGAATGTAACAAAAAAGGGGCATTGATTATAAAAGAGTGACGCGGGGAAGAAAGGCAGAATGTGGAACAGATGAGTGAACCATAAAAACTCAATCATAAAGGAGAGGGGGAAGCAGACAGGAGAGACAAAGTGCTGTGGGTGAACACTCTTCCAGCAAACGCATTTCTGCAGATTACATCTTTGCGGCTTCTGAGGGCCTATAAACCAGAGGGTGGGAAAAGAGAATGTGGTGCGGACTGTTTTTGTTTTTCTGGAGGATCATCTCTAGGTCGGTTTCATTTTTATTTTTCTCCTGCTTCTCTCTCCTGA